TAGTCCTTCGTGGTGGGGATCGAGGCGGTGACTGCGTCGAGGTCCTCTAGCAGCTGGTCGGTCCATGTCGAGAGGTCTTCGATGTTGGAAGTGGCGGAGTGCAACCGGCGTTCTCGGAAAGCGTCCCAGTCTGTATAGCGGGCCGTGTGTGGGCGCGGCTTGCTGGGGGAGGTGAGAACTTGAATGGTGAGGACATAGTGGTCACTGCCGAGGGACTGATGCGTGTTATACCAGCGCGCGTCGGGCACGCTGCGGCAGAAGCTGAGGTCCGGGGTGGTATCGCGGCACACACTGTTGCCGATGCGCGTTGGTTGCGTGGGGTCGGTGAGCAGGGAAAGGTTGAGATCGTGAGCGAGCTGCCACAGCCTCCTTCCGGGGCCATCTGCCTTCGAGTAACCCCAGTCCGGATGCTTGACGTTGAAGTCGCCGAGAATAAGAAGGGGTGATTTGGCTGCTTTCGCTGCAGCGGCACGGAGCAAGGCTAGGAGAGACGCGTCTTCAGTGGAGCGAGGGGGGTTGTACACGTTGAGAATAAACAGAGAGGGCTGTTCACGTTGCTGAGGTAGTGTCTCGAGGAAGACGTGATGGACTGCAGGGAAGGGTAGATCGTGTCGATTGACAGCGAGCGTCCGCCGGGTGAGGACGGCCGTCACGGGATGGGGCAGAGGATGGTGAGTTACTTGGTTGTAGGCGACGTAACCCGAGAGGGAGACGTCGGCGTGAGTTTCCTGTAGTACGATGATATCAGGCGCGTCCGAGGGGTCTAGTTGTTGTAGGTGGAGAAGGAGGTGGTTACGCTTGGGACGAAAACCACGGCAGTTCCACTGCCAAATGGTGACGATGGATCGGTCAGCCATTTTTAACAGCGGAAGATGTTGCCTCGACCGGTGTTTGCGAGGTTCGGGCGGCGCCGGAGGAGGTGGTGGTGCGGGCATGGAGGGGTAGCTTTGCTCGGATGCTTCCAAGCATGGCAGTTTGTAGGCTATCAACTGTTGACTGTAGAGATTGGAAGGACGTGGCGGGGGGGTAGGCGGCGAAGTCTGTGCGCAGGGAATTTAGAGCTTCGTGCTGTGCAGTGAGAAGCTGGTGGACGGAGTTGAAGCGGCTATCCAACCGCTCTTCAAGATCCACCAAGGCCGTCTTGATGGATACCTGGACCTCTTCAGAAAAGTGAAGAGATTCAAGGGGAGTGTTGGGTCGACGGCGCTTGCCAGTGCATCCTTCGGGAGTCTGAACGTCCATGTCGGAGGAGGAGCAAATGGTAGAGGGCAGAGAGGATTTCACTGTGATGGCTGATTCCAGCTTCTCTTCAAGAGCTTGCAGTTTCGCTTGGAGGGAATCAATTTGGGTCTTCTGAGCTGCAATTTGAGCGCTTTGTGCAGTGACCTGCTGTCGGAGGGAGGCGTTTTCTTGCTGCAGTGCAACAACCTGCGGCTCCGAGGGCAAGCCGGGGGCGCCGCGGGCCATGTCGAATTCATGGGCTGTGATGTGGGTTTAGGCACCGCTGGTACGGGGGGCGGAGAGGCAGTAACCGACTTGGGCGGTGGAGCTGGTGAGGGACCACTTGCTGCTTGCTGGGAAGAGCGCACTACCGCTGCGGGCGGAACAGGCTGTTGTGGCGGGGGGTGTGTGTCAGGTGCCGGGGCCTTCTGGCGTTGAGGGCGCTGCACGTAGCGGTGTTTACAGTTGGAACTGTACGTGGAGTGATTCCCATTGCAGACGATGCAGCGGGGGTTGCAAGTGGGTGGCGATCCTTCGGGCGGTGTGGGGTGAGCAGCGCCGCACCGATGGCACCGCTCCTGCCGCGGCTTGGGGCACACGTCGGTCCGGTGGCCGGTCGAGCGGCAATTGTAGCAGGCTTCCACCCTGTTGCGGAACGGAAGGAGGCGAAGCTGGACACCGTGGTAGAAGATCCACCGCGGTAGTTTCGGCTCCATGAGGGTGACTAAGATGTGAGGGGCCTTGCCCATGCGGCGGCCGCCCACAACAGAGAGGGTAGGATTGCTTGCCTGAAGGTCTTCAAGGATGGCTTGGTCCGTGAAGTCGTCGAAGGCGTGGTACAGTATGCCCCTGAGGGCATCGTCTGGCGGTGGGGCGTAAAGGTGGACGGTGAAAGTGTTGCCGGAAACCGTGAGGGAGATGATGCGGAGGTATGCTTGTGCACGAGCCGAGTCCGCGACGCTGAGCGTAAAAGTGTTGTTGACGGGGTGGATCCGCACCGTGTCGCGAGATGCGGGCGGGAGGTCTTGCAGGAACGCTGCTTGCAGCAAGGCGGTGTACAAGTGCCAAGGCTGTAGCTTGGTGAGTTCTACGGGGCTTTTTGGGCGGCCGACGATGTGAATCGTGTCCGCCGGGAGACGAGGGAGCGGAGCGCGGCGGCGGTGCTGCGGAGGCGATGTATTTACCCGCTTCGACGAGGGCAGAGAAGCCGGCGTGGTGGTGGGCTTAGTTGCGGCGGTGGCAAGGCGCAAGGCTGCGCGGCGTTGCTCTTGGGCGCGGAGGCCTGGCGACTGCCAGGATTCGTCCGAGAGTTCCTCGGGGGACACGTCCTGTCCTTCGACAATATACTCCATAGCGGTGGACAGCTAGGAGATGGGCGACGAGGCAGCGGCGGGCGGCCGGGCGGTCGCTCCGTCTGTCAGCTGATGTGCAGGCGGCCGCACTCGAGCTAGGCCTAAGAGGCCTAGGTCGGTGCACGGCGTGGTCGAAGGCTTTCGAAAGCTCTCCCGGGCCACCCCGGGCGAGTTTCGCAATAAAGTGGGTGTCGAAGAAATCCAGACAATGTGCTCCAGCCACCCGTGAAGAAATTATCCGGATAGGGTCGAAAGGACCGACGCGAGGGCCGAAAATTGGCGGAGCCGAAGTGAGGTGCGACTGCTCTCGACGGTGATCCGCCCACCATCCCGACGCAAGCACAATCGAAGCTTCTTTCTGTCAGCGTTTAAAGTCAGGTGGCTACCGTCTCGGTTCACAGTACTATTATGGAATGGAAAGCAGGCGTAAGAACAACGCACTACGCCATTCGGTGTTATCGTGAACAAGACTATTGTATGGTAACCATTAAAGATATTTTTAAAGACGATAGTCTTTCTTGGGGACCTTCGACGCAAAAATTTTGGTCGTCTGTCTGTCTGTCTGTCTGTCTGTCTGTCTGTCTGTCTGTCTGTCTGTCTGTCTGTCTGTCTGTCTGTCTGTCTGTACCATTGTCTGTTTGCCCTCTCTTAACGGCATCAGGTACTTGAAACGGCCGACCCCCTCCACAGCACCCACATGTGTTGCTCAAGGTTGAGCGTTCATGCTTGTGCAATTGTCAACCAAAAAATTGCCCCGAATGTACATGTCACTGTGTAAATGTCGTCGAAAGACGACAGTCTTGCGTCTGGAGAGAGTGAACAAAACGTTTATTTGGTGTTCTGCTGCAAGGAAATCGGTGAATGGTGTTCTGAAGACGCTGCATTAGAGTGCCTCGAGCGTGTAACGGAGGCGAACAAGCGCATCTAGGCACGCTAAACACAAGCGCCATCTGGCAGTTATGTTCGAAAAAGAAGGCATGCGCGACCGCGGAGAAAGATGCGCGCCAGTCACGGAGGTGATAAGGTGTAGAATGGAAAGCGACGGGCAGGTGCCACCGCCGTGCCATCGTAGCAAAGCGTTGGAAACGCCTTCTTCGGCATCGCGTTGCACTCTCAGCGCAGCGCGTTAAACGCTACAGTCCGCGTTAAACGCTGCAGTATAAAGCCTCTTCTAGTATAAAGGAGACATATAAAACATAAAAATGTCATGGCACCTCAAATATGCGCAATATCTGCTTTTCGAATGGACAATCGCACAACTAGGAACGCTAAACCTTGAGCAATATTGGTGGGCACTGCGGATGGGGTTGGCTGTTCGGTGCCGTTTGGGGTATCGTTAGGGCGCACAAACCGAGAAATGTACAGACAGAGAGACAGACAGACAGACCAAAATTTTTCCGCCAAAGGTCCCCAAGAAAGACTATCGTCTTTAAAAGCAATTATTGCGCATGTCTGGGGCACTATAACAGCACGTATATATTCTGCATGCTGCGTCTCTTAGTAGGTAAGGCATACATATGTAATTTTAAGGACCGTAGCGCTTATCACGGTGCGCTGATCATGCAACGCTTGCACGAAAAGGCGAGTGTTTCCAACGCTTTGCTAATACGAAACGGTGCTGGCACCTGCCCGTCGTCTTCCGTTTTACACCTTATTACCTCTGAGATGGGCGCACACACCTGTCTCAGAGCCACGCGTTTTGTTTTCCTAAGACAACTGCCGGATGGCGCTTATGTCTAACGTGTGACGTGACTTGATGCGCTCGTTCGCCTCCGCTGCACGCTCGAGGCACTCTAACGCAGCGCCTCCAGAATACCATTTACCGATGTTCTTGCGCAGAACATCAAATAAATGTCTTGTTCACTTTCTCTACACGCAAGACTATCGTCTTTCGACGACATTTTCAGAGTACATGCAGATACGGGGCCAACTTTTAAAGTGTCGTTTAAAAGAATCGACGTTCTTGTTTATTTTACTGTGGCACCTGAAGAGGCAGCACACCATTTATGACGCACAAGAACAGATTGTTTCTGGAGCTGTGAAAAATTATACCGTCATACACAAGTTGTAATAGCTGAATATTCGTGATGCTCTGTTCTGCACTCACAACGTTCAGCTTTTGATCCCCAACATCTGCAGCCTAATTTAGATGATAGCAGAATGTACAAACCCTACCTTTTATTAGAATTCAGACGCGTAGTAAGAAACTACAGGAGTCACCAGGAAATAATACACTGTTGCCCACTACACTACAACTAATAGTAACGTTTAGTAACCTAGGCTCAACGTGCTAAAAGCACCAAAAAATTCATATTTGTAACTTTGCTCAGAGTCAAACTTACAACTGCACATGGGCTTGCAGGCGAACTTTCAGTTATTTAATGGCTGCACGACCTTGCGAGCATACAAGGATGCATCGTGACTTACTTTCTGTATGTTTCACTCTTTGTCCACGCATCTCCTTTCTGAATCGACCGAGTGGCGACGCTGCCGGAAGGAGCAGCAGAAGAGCGAAGCAGACGGGCTGATGCTTGGAAAGCCTTCTTTCTTGAGACCATCTCCACGACTGGTCTTCTCGACTTCACAAAGCTCTATTTACAATAGTCAAGGGTAGGTCCACACGCTAAGCTAATAACCACTTTCGACTTGTTCACTCTACTTGTTTCGAAAATCATACCCACGGCTCTGCTCTTCCCCGCCTCGATTCACCGAGAGCCATATGCGATCTACGCAATGAACGCAAAGCAAGGTGGCTTTTACATCGAGTATTTTTTGTCACAATAATAGACGTGCGACGAAGTGGACAATGGTTATTCTTTTAGCGTGATGGATATAAATCACTTATGCAGGACACGTGCTCCTCAAAACAAGACAAAACGTAATGTTTCCCTGCAGCCATCTGCGTTTGTTTTATTCAAAACGCGAATGAATTGAACGACCACATGACATTGAAATTCACTTCAAGCGCTTTCATGCACGTAAGGAACATTATTTTAAGAGGAAAATGAAAAATCTAAATCGAGCTTGTTTTAAATACCCTACGCTTGAAACTTCGACCACCTTGTTTTTCAATGCTAAGAGTCCCCGAGATGCACAGTGCTAGTACACGTTTCCTTTATGTTCTTGTGGCAAGATTTGATGACACTTGTCGCAAGCCTTGGCAGTAGCAGTATCGACACGGTACGGCTGAAATATCCTGGAGTACCCTATGTCAAAGTTCTAGTGTCGAGACTTCAATGTGAGGGAGCTGCTCATCGAATGGTTTCATCCTGTTATGAAGGGTAGTTTTTGTAAATCACTGGAGCGGCTAGCTTCACCCAGCTGCCCTGACTTGCTTCTCAGTGCGACTTTTAAACCATGCTAAGACAGTTAAAGGGCAGGCAGCGAAGAGATACCTGAAGCGGTGCCAACGCAAGAATTGGGAATCTGGGAGTAGCTGCTCTCTCACCCGTTCTAGGGCAGACTTGGGCATGGATTAGACATCGATACGCCAGATGTTCTTCGTTCTTTTCCGTAGCAAGCCCCGTTCGATGACTTTTTGAGATAGATGTCACTGCCGTTCGCACTACATTAATCAAATTTAGGGCAGAAGTTTTACATTATGACACGCCTTAAAGTGCACCCCGATTATACTGAGTCATTTGAATTAACTTATCACATTCTGTTTATATACACATTTATTTTACCAGCGTTTTCGCCATACAAGCATAGCGGCTATAGACTTGCTGGCCCGAAATCATAGCAATGATGTCGCACAGTGCCTGTGCCCCCCGTAAACTATCCCCTCACCGACACACGCGCATGCTGTCAAACAATGATCTGTATCCACAAGCTTGCTCATAGACCAAAAAAGGTGCCCGTTGCTTACTCCGTGCCACGCAAATCGGGTGATCTTAATTCACAACAGCATAGTGAGAAAGAGAAAAAAAAGCTGTCATGCAAGATAAAAGTACGCCACACCATTTGTTGATCAGGTCATTGCCACCGAGCATGAAGGAGAGTTATACCGGGGGAACGGCTATGTGCTAGAGGCGGGATCTACTGCAATAACACAGCTTGAGTGCATGGAAGGTTGTGAAAGAGTATACACCTAAATCGCATTTGCCTGAGCCCTGTTTCGCCTGCAAGGGTGACCCCTTGCTGGAGAGTTGGATGCTTCGTGTATTTACTGATGGACCCCTGGCCCGCGAAAATATGATGGCTCTTGAATTGTTCACAGGGTTCATCACACAACCTAAATTATTCTAAAAGCTCTGAAACTACGTAAATTTCGAATTTACAGATTGGATAGAAAATACATTTTCATTTATGTTTTACTAAATTCTGTAGGCAATGATATTTCATTTATCTTTTACAAAGGCAGGTAGCTAGTTATTTCTATGCATTTCTTCAACTTCCTGTCCCCGCCGTTATTAATCATCATGAGACATTGCATTTTTCTAAACAATACTGCTTTGCGAAACAGCTATGACAGCGACGTGCCTATCGTCTTCCCAGACCAACTCTTCAACGAACCCTACGCCGAAGTGGAAACATCTTGCTATTGCTAGATTTGCGGCGAAAAAAAACTATTTAAATGTGTTTTTTCATCAGATGGTGCAAATATGCGTGGGTGTAAAGGAATAAGCGCTGTACTTGTGGATTTCCGAAGAGTTGCCGTTTTTCCTGATTTGAATTCCACAACGCCTCTTCTCTCAAATGTAATCAGTATAGCCCGCCGTGGCAACTTCCGGCTTCACGTAACAAAGAGGACACCCTTTGTGTCCGCATGGTGCCGTGAGTTGCTGTATCCCCTGGATCCAGACATTAATGAGTGACTATGAACATCTCACATAAAGTTTGAAACAAATTTCTAGCTAGAAATGGGTATACGTGGAGGACGGCACCTTGTAGTTTCCACACGTCAACTGTCCAAATTTGGTTGATAAAAAAATTGTGCTGCAAGAACCGTGGCTTGCAAATGCCTTTTATTGAAGTGAGCGGGGATATGACGCACCAGCACCTTTTAACCAAGGTAAGGTAACGGGAAGGTAAACTCTGCCATTAAAGTTCTTTTATTCGAGTGGTTTCACCAATAACGGTTCGTTATTGAAAGTTATGCGAACAACATATTTGCAAGACACTGGCCGCTTTAGTACATGTTTATTTCTCATTTCTTTCACGTCAACTTGAGCCACTCGCCCTCTGTTAATTTGCTTTAACAAACCTTTTACGACGAATTCTTATTATTTTCGCTTAGTGTCGAAGATTATTGCAAACCATGCTTATTTTCATCGCTGAGTAGTTACGAGAAGGGTTGTGAAACCAAGATCAGGCAAATTGTATATTTCTTTGGTCACTGTTTTCCTGAAGTAAACTTCAACTTCAGAAGATGCTGAAGCACCCATCTTGTCCATCTGTTTCTGCTCTTGCCTTGGACACAGCGACAGAACGCTGTACGTCGGGGGTCTGTATACGTCTTGTAAGTATTTCTCTAATAACAAAAACAAATTGCACTAAGTTGCGCAAGGATGGGTCAAAGCTCAGCAGGTGGGCAGCTAGCAGGTCCTGTCTCGACCAGGCTGTTGTCACCCCATTTTATTTATTTGTGAGATTTAACGTCCCAAAACCACCGTATATGTATATGAGAGACGCCGTAGTGGAGGGCTCCGGAAGTTTAGAACACTTGGGGCTCTTTAACGTGCACCCAAATCTGAGCACACGGGCCTACAGCACTTTCGCCTCCATCGAAAATGCAGCCGCCACAGCCGGGATTTGATCCCGTGACCTACGGGTAAGCAGCCGAGTACCTCAGTCACTGCACAGCCGCAGTTCACTGTACCAATTCCTATCCGCGCCCACACTTTGACGCTGCACCACTTATATATACCGCCCCGAAACATCCCCAACGCCATACCATTCACCGGTTGTCCAACGCTATGCCCCAAAGAACACCGACGCTTGGCGTGTCCCTTCTGATCGTTCGCTTTTCTACCGCTGTGGGAAAGCAGATCATATCTACTGTCACTGCCATTACCACAAATGAGTCTATGGAGCGTCCCCATCAACGGGCACTGTCCACAGCGCGGTGAGTGGTCACGTGATATGGCCAACTATACTGAGCTGAGATTGAATGCACACCTTAATGTTTGTCACGCTCGCCGTTTCTAGGACGCGAGTAGAAGTCTGCTTTACTTCGCACTCTTTGTTTCTTTATCTATACGTCCACTGTGGCACGATAGTGTTCAACTACGGAGACAATGACAAGCAGCAGATATGTTTTGTTGCCTTTTTAAGAAATTGTTCGCCCCCACCAATACTTCATCCCTAATTTATTCTATTTCAAAATAGCCGAAAATATGTTTTGAGCTAAGTTACTACACAGCCCGCGCTGTCGGAAAACCCATCACAGCTATTTATCGCCGATCCGGAACAGGTTCGAAATTATGCTGCCACATGAGCATAACTGAATGCAGAAACAGCGCAACCTGGAAGTAGTTCCTTCGTAACTACGGAAGCGAAAAAACAAGGACAGAAAAGAGCGCTGACTCAACAAAGATTTAATGCCGGAGTGGTGTACATATATAGGCGAAAAATGAGAAAAACGGGCATGCGTAGAAGGGTGCAGGAACAACTACTGCGATATAATGTCAGCAAAACTCTTGTCTCTTGTCTTGTCTCTTTTCTGTCCTTGTTTTTTCGCTTCCGTAGTTACAAAGTAACTACTTTTAGGTTGCGCTGTTCCTGCATTCAGTTATGTCCTACCAACTTGCCCAAGCTTCCACGCCACATGAGCATATTCATTTTCATATGAGCATGCGTAACCGGGGGGAAATGCTAGTGCGCTTGTCATGCCGAAATGCGCGAGCACTTTATAATTACTTGCAATACTGAAGCGACAACGCTGTAAACATAATTTTTTTATATTGAAAATTCGGCTTCTCAAAACCCCAATATAATTGTGAATGATGCCGCTGTGTAGAGCTCTGGAAATTTCGTCCACCTGAAGTTCTTTAGTCTGCTTTCAAATCGTACAGTGTATACATGGGACTCTAGAATATCGCCATCACTGAAATGCGACTGTAACGGCCAGCATAGAACCCGCAACTTGCCGACTACAATATAACCACTGCTACACTACGGCAGACAGCGCTGAAAGGTGTAATTTGTCATGTACCAAAGCCTGATTTTTTTACAGCCAATCACGCCTAACTACGACCGATTTTGCTCTCCGCTATAACTACGAAGTGAATAATACTGGGAGTTTTCCTTTTGCTGAAGACAAGTTCGCCGATTCGCAGCTCCGTATTTACCAGCGCCACTGTATACGTTCTTGGCTTTTTGCAACCATGTGACGCTAAGGTGGCACACGCACGAAATGAATAATTTCTAAACGACGGAACCGGGCACAAATGTAGTTGGCTAAAAATCGCCATAATCTGAAAAAGTTTTCACGAATTGCCATGCGGTCTGAATGGGACCGCAAACAGCGAGTGTTTATCACAAGTTCGTAATTTTCGCTACATAGATATAGAAAAAAAAAATATGTACTGTCGTTTTTCGAGGCAACCTGCAACAACGAATCGATGCACCCGGGCATGGCTATCGAATGCCTTCAGTGCGCAGAGCTCTCCTGCAGCACTATATGTAGGAACAGTGTGGCGTACAACAGGGCACAGCTCCGAAACTCACTGCTCACCTCGCAATTCCTCCTCACGCGCTACGTCACCTTCAGCGCAATACTCAGTTTTCTCGTCTATGTCTTATTATAT